AGAGACTCAAAGACTGCACCAAGAATATATACTGCGTTTCTGTTACTGGTATTCGTTCGATCAAGAGCGCTCACTACTGCAGGACTTACGACGTCGATTTTTCTTTGTTTTTTAATATTTTCTAAATAAGGATCTTCTAAATCTGAAGTGTTTCGTTTTAAATCATCGGAAAATGATGAAATCGATTTTTCAAGCTCGTGTTCAGATGATGAATGAAAATAGGTACTCTGAATTGTACCTAAAAATTAGAAATAATTGAAAAAAAATCATTCTTATTAATACAAAAGAGATATATTAATCTTCGTAAGTGACACTTGGTTTATGTAGCTCTGGAGTTTGTATATTACATAATACAGAATTTACAGTTGCATGACTGAATTTCATATCTTCTTTCAACAAAGATTTTTGGTTATCAGTTAGAAACTGTTCCGATGTTTTTTTTAGAAATATTAAATAATTTATTTCATTTTTTATTAAAGTCATTTTCTTTAGTTTTTTTTTTAATAGTTTTTTTATTTTTTCGAGATTTCAAAAGATTTTTCCACTCACGAAACAAACGTTTAATATTACACACAACGGAAACCAGTTTAATTGTAGGAAGATTGAAATCACTCCATATTTTTAATACTTCCTTTGCAACTTCTGCAGCACTGTTGTCAATAGTTAGTTTAAGAGAATTGTGTTTATAAAAGAAAATACTTAAAATGTGGCGATTTGTTGGAAGTTTACAACTGATTTGGCTAGTTTCAAAACCAACTAAAAATATTAAATTTTTTGCCGTCATAATTATTATTAACGTAATGGTATTTGTTCTGTGATGTGTCTGTGTCAATAATTGAAAAATAAGTAACGAGAATTTTTTTTGAAAACAAATAGGTTATAATGAAATTGTCTGTGCTTTAATTATTGAAAAATAAGTAACGAAAATTTATTTTTAAAACAAATAGGTTATGAAAAAATTGTATTGTGTAATAGTAAATATTCGATAGATATAATAGAAAATGATCGTAATAATAACTACTCGAATAAAACTGATTCACGTAAATGAATGTCAAAGTTGAATTATATATTACAACTGAGCAATCAAAACAGTTGAAGAAAAAATTTTTCCATGACAATGTTTGTTGGAAGTATTATAAAACTATACCAATACTTTAACGGAATTATCTTAAGAGGGAACCACTATCGAATTCCCTGAGAAGCTGTACATGATGAACAATAAGGATCGAGCGCCCCGTCTCCACACTCCTACTTATCTCATTTCAAAGTAATTTATTTCCTTAAATAAAAAGATTTCTTAAAATAAATGCCTAAAATTGCTTATTTTAATTTTTTTGTTTAATTTTCATAGCCAGTAAATATATGAATTTTTGACTTTAAAAAATGGTACCAGGTTGATTTTGTAGGAAATTTAATGCCCTTCAAGAATCTGCCATCAAAAAATTTTTAGCTTGAGTGGTTCAAAAGTTACATCATTTTTAATGAAAAAAGATTTTTTTACGTGTTATTTAAATGGGAAACTTTGAATGCTCACCGACACTTTTCAAAATTAAGCTAAAAATCTCTCCTTGCAGGGGAATTTTTTTTTCGATATATAGGTTCATTTTAACCCATAAAATCGATAGGTTAGTTTTTTTGGCTCACCCTAATGTATACCTTAGTATAGCGTGGCGACCCGTCACCACGGCAAGCGTCGCCACGCCAACAATTCGGTTTACTAGTGAGTTTATAGATGTTTCACATCAAAAATAAAATTTCCAATAGTTTTGAAATTCCAAATTTTCACATGTTTTCGCGGCTCAACGTATATATTGTAAATAAATAATTAGCTTTAAAAATAAAATGAAATTGTAAAAATAAACAATAAATTTCCTTATCTATTTAGCTCCTCTAATTGTATAGTGAGAAAATATCCCTTTTATTAGAGAAACTTTAGAATTGCTACAATATTTTTCAATATTATTTAACACAATAATTACTGAGCTTGAATAAATAATTTAAGATTAAGTACACACGTGAATAAAAATTATGAAAAAGAAATTTTTTCACTCCAGTGAAAGATCAATTTTTATTTACAAAAAAAAAATTTATTAGTAAAAAAATATATAATTATTACTTTATATTTTTGGAGTGATTGCTTTATTTTTAAGAAAATAAACTTTTTTTTATAATTATGTGCGTCATTCCCATAATATTATAGAGGAACCATTCCCATAATATATTGAAGCTATTTCATTATTGTATAGGAACTTTTCCAATAAACTATGCGTATGGTTCCCATAATTATAGGATTGATGCCTATAATGATAATTTTATTATAGGTGTTATGTCCAAGGGCGTTTTTAGAGCGGTAGCGTAAACGGTGGAGGTTTGGACAAACAGTTTAAAGAATACGCAACGGAGGTTTTAATTCCGTTGTTTAATTATTTTTGTGGGACGTTTTCGATGTACGAATTTACCACGCCTTCGTTTGAGACTGTACACGGAATTTAATTAGGAGTAGATGTACTTACTACTTGCTGGATTAATGGTTAGGATCGGATCCGTGATTCCGTGGCTGACCGTAGTGCCTTTTCCTTGATTGGACCCTCTGTTGGTATTTGCAGCGGATGGATGTGGATGGATTGGGCTGCTTATCTTAAGGGCTTCTTATTTTTATAAAATGAGTTTATTTAAAACAGATTTCACTTTTCAAGATTTATTTAATAAACACCAAAACTTCTACACTTTCACAATTTTATTAGGTCGAAATTAATATTAATGAATTTTATTTATTTGAGATAACGTCCTCCAGTCCCCCGTAGGGTAAAGTGCGCAAATTTAGCTTTAAAAGATATTATATTAAAAGATATTATACTTATTGACCGAACTCTCGCCTAAGTGTAGGGCAAATTAGAACTTTGAGAATCCGATTCTCTAGATTTTCTTACTGGTCAAAATCCCGCCTAAGTGCAGGGCAAATTAAGACTTTGGGATTTGACTTTCTAGGTTTTATCTACTTATCGAGCCCTCGCCTAAGTGCAGGGCAAATTAGAACTTTGAGAATCCCGACTCGTAGATATTAAAACTAATACGTGGCCTGCCGGTTGAAACCGCGTCTGAACTCGAATTAAGTGCAGAGCAAATTAAGACAAGGGACTTTACAAGGCACGGGCCTGTCAGTTAAAGGCGGAAGTCGAATTAACCAACTAAGAAATGGATTTGGCTGTTGATCGCCTTTTTAAAAACTCGCGGTGCTGAGATTGCAGAAGTCCCCGCTAGTCAACCAGCAGTCGCGTAGCTTATATTTTATTGTGGCTTTCGCGCATGGAGAAGTCTTCCATCTGCGCGGGTGATTTAGATTTAAAGAAAAAATGCGGGTGGACATAACATTCCCCCGGAAAAGCGAGAAGCTAGTATAGTTTTTCGGTTTTCCTATGGCCACTTTCTCCATAAACGAGAGCCACTTACAATTTTGAGATAAAAATATTCTTAATATAATAAAAGAGTAATAAAGGAAGTCATCTGGCGCGAATATTTAAATTTAATTTGTATTTTTATGTCGCGCTGTATTATATGCTGACGGATGTTTTATCGTCTTCGTTGCTTGATTTTGTGAAGCCGTGTCAAGTATAACTATTGTCTCAGCAGTGATCGAGCTAGCATTGCATTTAAGAGATTTGTTAAAAAGAAAAAAGAAGAGGAGATGTATACTGTTGAGAAAAATTTCGAAAACTACGGTACCTGGTACTAGATGGCCCTTGCCATTTGTGGAGAGAAGGTTAGCAAAATTTGTAATATAACAAGTATATTCCAATCGTTTCATCTCTTGCCAAGAGATCAATTTATCTGTCATTCCTTTTAGGCGTATCAGATGATATCGTGTGGTTGGCAATGGAGATTAAAAGGCAGATTATTCTGCTTCTGCGTTATATTTATAAGTGAACATATATATAAATATTAGGAAAATTTTCCTTCTGTCTTCTTCTTTTTATTTTATTTTAAATAAATATAGAAAAAAGAAAAAATTAGGTTTAAATTTTTTTTTTATATAATGCCTATGCCTTCTCTCTTATACCATAATGATTCAGGTAGTTCTAACGGTAGTATAAGTAATAAATAGAAATAAGATAAGTAATAGCTTTAGGTGGAGAAGAGATAATAACAGAAAGAAAATAGGTTGAAAAGGAAAGAAAGCAAAAAAAACAAAAGAATAAAAGATTACTTTAGAGGAAAAGGAAATTTTATAAGGGTTTATATAGCTCGATCAATGGGTATATGTGAGTACATGTGCAGCGGCTTTATTATAATTGCCATTAGATGACTCTCCCTGTCCTCTTAATTACTTATATTTATTCTTGTTGAATATTAGACGTTCAAAATAATCGTTTTGAATTATAGGAAAAAATTTTATGATTTCTTAATTTTTTTGAAAAATTTTATATGAGTGACGTTAGCTCGAATTTCTTTTAGTTATTATTTATAAAGTATTAGTTATTACTTATAATAATTATATTTCAGTTATTATTTATACTAATTATATATAAAGAAAAATTTTATTTAATGTATTGTTAATAAAATTATAGTGATAGTATAATGAAAAAGTAAAATAAAAAAATTTTTGAAATGAATAGTGACTTTTTATAAAGAGAAAACATTTAATCGGGGTTTTGTGCTGTTCCCACTCGTCCCCCCAAGGCCGAGGATAATTTTATCTTCGGTCTTGTGAGTCATAAAGCAGCAAAAATTTTTCAGAATTTAAAGAAATGTACTGTTTTTCGTTATACTATCTACTATATATGAAAATATTTGAAAAAAATTAAATTTTATTTATGATTTCTAGATTTTAACTGTTTTATACAAACTGTTGGCTCGTTTTTGGCAATTTTAATTTTTGTTAAAACGAAATTTTTTTTATAAGAGAGAAAAAAAATTTTTGTTATCATTTAAAGTTATTTTCTTACTTTTCCGCAAAGGAGCCATCAGTTTGTAAAAAAAAATTTTATAAATGATCTTAACTTTTACGATGTTGATGCCGGGATTGTTGTCCAAATCGGTGATTTGTAGTCTCTCAGTCGGGATGGTTTCGACTCCTTTGATGTCTTGATGGTCTCAGGAGCTTCTTTGGTTGTTACTGTTGCTGCCGTGGAGGAGTTGTCGTTGTCGGTTCTTGTTGGAAGTGGTTCGTTGACTTTTGTTTTGTCGTCCCCCTCTTGGCCAATGTCTGAAGTCGGATTACTCGTAGTTGATCCTGGTGTAGAGACTCGTAGGAAGATTTCGTCGTCCCCCTATTCTTCATCTACTATTGGTTTCTTCTTTTTGGTGGTGTAGGGCTATGAGTGACATTTTTCTTTATTTTCTTTTAGCCCTTGGCCTCATCGCTCGAATTTATCGATGATCGTAGCTGAATTAATGTTTAGTGTTTTTATGGTTCGGAACAACTCTCGTGTGATTGTGCCTACGATGCCGAATCAAGGAGGTCTCTTGGTGCGGTTTCGTGGGTCGAATTCTTCTAGTCGTAGATCTTCGAGGAGTAGTTGTCTCAGTTGATGTTATACTTGTTCAATTTCTGCTCGTATTTCTCGATAGCTATTGATCCTTAAATATGACATGCAGTTTGGGTGGTTGAATCTTACTGAGCATACTCTGTAGGACTCCCATAGATTTTGATGGGAATCCGGATATAGATTCACCAATTTTTCGACGTTGATGGAATTAATCAGCTGCCATTCTTCTCGTATTAGATGGATTTTCTTGAATGGATCATACAGCAGACCTGGATTTGCTTCCATTGGTTTATCTTGACTTCCCCTGTGCCCCAGGCCAGGTATTTGAGCCCCAGGAGGAGAAGTAGCACAGTATTCATGATGGATTGATTCTTCCTTTTATTTTATATATATATATATACTGAAACAAACGACTTAGGTTCTTTTTAGTCAAATTTTTCGCGGCTGGCTGGTTTAGCCTTGTTCGGGTGGAGTAATTTTCGTTTCCCGTTTTCTTTTTCGATAATTAAATTTCCCATTTCATTTATTTCAACTATTTCGTATGGGCCAGTATAATAAAGGTCTAATTTATTTTTTCTCGGTTCTTTCAGCGTGTACACGAGATCTCCTACACGTATATTTCAATGTATATACATAAAATATATATACAAATCAAAAATGGTACTTTCCAGGACATTTTGAGTTCCAATTTTTTTTATTTTTTTATTTTTCCAATTATTTTTAACCCCAGAGAAAGTTTTACATCATTTTTTTTCAATTTTATGATACTTTCTACTCGAAAAAAATTAAATAGTTACAATAATTATCGTTCTTATTCATTTGATACAATAATTTCCTTAGAATGTTACTGTCTAAGATCTATTTATGGTAATTATCACCATCACGGTAGTGATAGTCATTATCATATTAGTTACATCTACCTTCTCGATAATAGAAGTTGCTACTATTTTTATAATTATACTTTTTTTAAACACACGATGAAATTATTCAAGTATTTTTAGCCCGTAAAATTCGGCCGTATACCATACTTGATAATCGAGTTTAAAAAATAATTATTATATTTGATAATGAAATTTTCATTTTTAAATTCCCACTAAGAAAATCGAATACTATCAAAAATCGGAAAGTTATTGGTTCTTCCGCGTTTTTCGAAAATCAAGTTTTCAACGGATGTTGACATTTTGAGGTCCTAGGAAGTCTCCCCGAATGTTTCCGCGGTGATGCCCGTATGTCTGTATGTGCGTGCGTGCGTGTGTGTGTGTGTGTGTGTGTGTGTGTGTGTGTGTGTGTGTGTGTGTGTGTGTGTGTATGTGTATGTGTGTGCGTATGTGTGTGTGTGTGTTGTTTTTTTTTTTTTTTTCCCTTTAGGGGGGGGAATCCTTTTTACGGATTCTAGGCATAGATGTTGGCCCGGATATGTGGCGACTCGACGCAGCGTCATACTAAAACTCGACGCTGACGCCCCTACCCACTAAACCCTAAACCCCTTTCTCTTCTATCCTCTGATCCACCATGGTACCGCCGTAAGGCATTTCTTCGCGGGGGGAGGAATTAGCTGCCGCTCTTCCTTCTGGTGGCTAAGATGTTATCTTACTTCATATTTAGTATAGACATTCAAGATTCTGTCTTTTGCTCTTTTTCTCGCGATGGAACGCAGCTCTGTAAGCACTTCTATGGCAAAAGTGTTCGTTGCATTCCAGACAGCCTCTGACGACAACATTGCCTCTACTATTGACGCTGGTTGGGTTCTCTTCTTCAGAATCCTCTCTAACTCATTGCGCTGTTGGTTGAAACATGGACACACAAAGAAGACATGCTCCGCTTCTTCATTGACCCCTGGACAGGACGAGCACTCTGGGGTATCGTCATGCTTAAAGCGGTGGAGATACGTCCGAAAACATCCGTGTCCTGATAACATCAGATGTTGCCATCTTGCGATGCTGTGTTGCCGTACTTCTCTTCTAAGTTTTTCAGGGCTCAGTGTGGTTGACCTTGTATGTATGTATGTATGTATGTATGTATGTGTGTATGTATGTATGTATGTATGTATGTGTGTATGTATGTATGTATGTATGTATGTGTGTATGTATGTATGTATGTATGTATGTGTGTATGTATGTATGTATGTATGTATGTGTGTATGTATGTATGTATGTATGTATGTGTGTATGTGTGTGTGTGTGTGTATGTGTATGTGT